ACGATCATTTCCCAAAATATATTCTAAGAGACACAATGTGTCTGCAAGATTAAAAAGTTACCACAAGCTGGCTTCATGACCTGGTGGTTAAGGCAGCCAGATTCCATATGACCAACTCCATGGTTCAAGTCCCAGATCTGGTAGCTTGAGAAACACACCAGGTGCACCGCATGAGTGCCCCAAATATTGAAAGGAGGGACCATGAAGGAGAAGGGACTGCAGCATCAAGCCCCATGGACGGAACTTTCTCTTCCTCTCTATTCCTGGTGAGTAAATGCACCCTTTGACAAACTAATCTTCTGGGGAAAATGTATTCCAAAGACATACTTTAGGGAATTTTTTTTTTTTTAAGGGAGATTTTTGCAATAGGGCACATGTGCTCACTCCCTAGTGGGTGACGATACTGCAATCCCTTCACCTCTACTGTCCCCTCAGGATTTTGGGCACTATGCACATGTGCTTAGTATGAGTTTTGTTTTGTTTTGTTATTTTGGAGAGGTTTTTGCTTTAGGGCGCATGTGCTCGCCAGAAAGACAGAGAGACAGTAAGTGAGATATCACCCCCCAGGGGGGATGTCTACGCTGCAATCCCTTCTTCTCCATTCTCCTCTAGGGATCTTGGGCACTCACACACACGTGTCTGGCCTGAGTTTAAGCCACGAGGTCCTGGACTTGAACTGCGGTCGAGTACGTGGGAGTTCAGTGACACAACCATAATGACATCTGCTGGTCCCGATACTTTGGGAAATTCTAATCAACAAAATTATTCTACATTCTTACTTTTCCAGTGGCCTGAATTGATTATAAATAATAATTTCCAAATAAGAAACACTTTTCATTCAATTGTTATCAGGACACATATAGAAGAACACAATCTGCCAACAAAGATATTTACCACTATGTCAATCACTTCCTTCGACTATGGCCCTTTTACAACTTCCCAAGTACTTCACAAAAAATTGGGACCCCATGGTCTAGTGCAGTAAAACTATAGTCTGCAATTCACCCATAAGAAATCTTTTCTAATATTTTTTTTAGAATTACTTATTTTATTTATTATTATTATTTAATTTACCATAGGGCACATGAGCTCACCAGAGAGACAGAGAGAGAGGGAAAGTGAGAAAGCAAGTCACCAGGTCCAGGACTCAAAACCACAGTCAGCCATGTGGGAGTCTAGCGCCTTAACCATTATGCCACCTGCTGTCCTCAAGAAATCTTTTTCATGACAAAGGTTAGTAGAAAGAAATAAAACAGAAAATATCAGAGTAGATTACTCAGGGCTGGCAGGTGGCGTGATGATTAAAGGCGCTGGACTCCCACATAGCCGACTGTGGTTCAAGTCCCAGACCTCGTGGCTTGCTTTCTCACTTTCCCTCTCTCTCTTTCTCTGTCTCTCTCTGATCAAACTGAAAAATAATAATAAAGCTAAATTTAAAAAAAGAGTAAGTTACTCATGGTAAGGATAGGTATTGCCTCATGTATATTTTATTTCAAAAGCATATGCATGTATTTATACTGGCCTCTATGAAAAATGTACTTCTTAGTACAGCTATAATTTTAAAAATTTAAGAATGCTATGAATTCAAAAAAAGTTGAGTTAAACAAATTCTTTTCCTGAGACCATATTAGGGCCTTTAATATATTCCAAAAGCATTTCTGGCCACAGGACCCTTTTTTTAATTGAGGCACCTCACAGAACTAATGCTTCTTGGCACATAACTTAGAGCATATCTGGGGGCCAGAAGGTGGCGAAATAGTTAAGGCACTGGGCTCCCAAACGAACCACTGCAGAGTTAGAGTCCCAGATCCAGTACCTTGAAAAACACACTGGGCCCAAGTGTGTGCCCAAAATCCTGATAGGAAAACAGAGAAAAAGGATGGCGGTGTAGCCATCCCTCCTGGGGGGAGGGGTAGTTTCTCATTTTCCCTCTCTGTCTCCTCCCCTCCCCACCCCCCCGCCATGGGTGTATGCAACCCTATGACAAAAATCTGAAATTAAAAAAGAAGAAGAAAATATCTATGGCGACCTTTAGAAACCACATACTCCTGGGACCAGTAGTTGGTGTAATGGCTATGTTGCTGAACTGCCATGTAGCTGGCCGCAATTCGAGTCCTGAATCTGGTGGCTTAAACCACACCGGGCGCATGTGCATGCATGTCCAAGATCCCAAGAGAATGAGGGAGAAGGGATTGAGGCGTGGCCATCTGGGGAGGGGATTTCTTGCTCTCTTTCTCTGTCTGTCCTTCTGGCAAGTATACGTCCTCTACAGCAAAAACCTCTCAAAAAAAAAGAAACCCAGACTCCCAACTGTCTTAAGGCACATTACATAAAATCAATGCTTAATCCTCGTGAACTCCATAGTATTCACAATCAGAATTCTTTTTTCTTTTATGCTTGAAGGTACATGCACTAAGAGAGACAAAGAGAGAAGAGAAAGCACCTCCCCAAGGGAAAGGTCACTTGCAATCCCTTCTCCTTCTCATTTTAACTGCTGACCCTTCGCCATTTGTTGCAATTTACAGCAACTTTAATCTCGTTGGCCTGAAGTCAGTTAAGCACCTGTGTGTGTTATGCCTCTGCCCTTGCTGGCTGTGTACTGCTGGGTTTACCGTCTCCTCCCTTTTCCCTGGTTTCCTGCTGCGGTATGAGCAAAGCAGAGCCCGAGCCTGGAGATGGGGGGGGTGGGGGGAAGGTCTGGGGAGGTTAGACGAGATAATGTACTTAAGTCATCCAGGGCGTGTACCAAGCGTTAAGAGACGTTACTCCAGCTACACTCCCGCCGCGCCAGCAGTGGGCCCAGGTGAGCAGCAGCCGCCGAAAACGCCATGCTGCCCCCCAGTGGGCACTGACTCACCATCGCCCACGGCTCCTTCCAGACACAAACGGAAGCGCGTCCTCGTTGCTAGTACTTTGTAAATCCTAGAGAGGACATCGTTTTTCCAAATTCAGTAACTACCACAGGCCAACTCGCCAACTCGGAGACCAAGGAGGGCGGGTCACCGGGGGCGCCCAAATCGGCGGCAGGAACGCTGGAGACCTGTGTCCCAGAGGTACCCAGAGGGGCCGGCCACGGTGCTTGCGGACTGCCAGAGTGGGCCATTTCAGAGGGAAGGCCCGCTTCACAACCACCGCCAAAACGCAAGGAACCAAAGTTGTCAACGAGGATTCTGGCGGGGCCTCCATTTCTCCCCCAGATGGGCGCGGTGATGCTCCTATCTGTCCCTGTCTATCCAGCTGGAATGACCTGATAACCTCTGCCTCAGATTCATCTGTGCCTTCTTGGGCACTAAAGGGCACAGGAACTGGGAGCCCCCTTGGGGAATCTACATGCTTTCGCCAGAAGTTCTACCCTCTATTTAAAACATTCTGCGGGGCTGGCGTGGTGGACGAGGTGCTGGACAATGGCCAACAGCAGTTCAAGTCCCAGGAAGTACTCTCTCACTTTCTCTCTTCCTCCCTCTCTCTCTCTCTCTCTGTCTCTCTCTGGCAGGGGCACGTGTCCTATGGCAAAATTAAAAATTACAATAATTTTATTTAATTTCAAAACTAGGAGCCAGCAGATGGCAAGGTGGTTAGGGGCACTAAACTTGCACATAACCAACTGTGGTTTGAGTCCCAGACCTGGCACTTTACTTTCTTACTTTCGCTCTCTCCCCCCCTCTCTGGAATATATGTAACAATAACGTGGCCGTCAGGAGTCCGCACTGGGAATATGTGTAACAGTAACATTATTATGTATATTCTTTTTAAATTTTTAAAAAGAAGAAAATAAATAATTTTTTAATGCAAAAATAAAATGTTCTGTGAAGTAATGCCACCCAAAGTGGGGATGCACCAGTAATCCCTTGCAATGTGCAAACTTGGACACCAGGTTCACGTGGCCCACGTTATTATTATGTGTATCCCCTCAACGCAGACTCCAGACAGCCTGTGTTGTTACATGTACTCTACTGTAGACTTGGGAGGGTCCTCGTTATTATTACATGTATTCCTAACCCGTGTTACTATCACGAGTATTTGGGATGGACTCCTGCCGACCAATGTTACCCCAAGTACCTCTGAAGTAAACGGGTGAGGGTGGAGGTGAATACCGTGGGTATTCCTAACGTGGACTTTCAACGGCCCACGCTGTTATGTGCATTCCTGATGTGAGGTTGGGCCAGCGTCATTCCGTGGGTTACCAGCACGGGCTCCAGGTGGCCCGCCTTATTTATTTTTGAGAGATTTTTGCTATAGGGCACCTGCGCTACACTGAGGCAAAGAGGACCTCCTCCATGGCCACGGCGCAATCCTCTCCATTCTCCTCCTTGGATCTTGGGCATGCATGCAGGCGGCCCAGCGTGATGGGGACTCAAACCGCAATCCACGTGGGAATCCACAACCGGGCCCATATTATTACGTGCATTCCCAGTGCGGACCTGGGAGAGCACATGTTACTGCTACACGTATTCCCAGCGCAGACTCCGGACGGCCACGTTATTATTAGACATTCCCAGCGGAAAGCCGTGGCTGCCCGCGTTATTATTACGGACATTCCCTTGGGGAAAGCCGTGGCCACCCACATTAATATTAGGGACATTCCTAAGGGAAAGCCGTGGCCGCCCGCGTTATTATTTTGGACATCCCTAAGGGAAAGTCATGGCCACCCACGTTATTATTGCAGACTCCCAACGGAAAACCGTGGCCGCTCATGTTATTACCGACACCCCTAACGGGAAGCCCTGGCCGCCCGCGTTATTATTAGACATTCCCAATGGAAAGCCGTGGCCGCCTGCGTTATTATTACGGGCCGCCCACATTAATATTAGGGACATTCCTAAGGGAAAGCCGTGGCCGCCCACATTATTATTTTGGACATCCCTAATGGAAAGCCATGGCCACCCACGTTATTACTGCAGACATTCCCAACGGAAAGCCGTGGCCGCCCACGCACACCCCTGACGGAAAGCCGCGGCCCAGGTCTCCCTCGCCCCACGCCCACGGCCAGGTCCACTCACCCTCCGGGAAGGGCAGCAAGGCCGAGGCAGAGCCCGAGCCGAGGCCCTCCAGGAAGTGGCAGGTGCCCCGCAGGGGGCAGGTTCTAACGGGACCGGGGCAGGGAGGCCGCGGGCAGGGAGAACAGCCTCTCTCTGAGTTGCCTCCGCGAAGCCGCATTTCCCAGAAGCACTTCCGGGTCACGTTTCCCGCCCTAGGACACTTCCGGCCAGGCCCTGGGCTGGCTGGGGCTGAGGAGGGAGGTGCGTGGAGGGCGGGGCTGATGCTCTCCCCCGGTGGGCGGAGCTCGGGGATGCTCTGCAGGGCCGCTGTCCCCGCTGCGAAGGGGCTTCCCGGTGTCCACCGCCTGGGAAGGGTTCAGGACCTGGGCCAGGGCGAGAACCGCGGCCCGGACGCGGGAGGGGACCGCTGCACTTGACACAGTTCACGTTTGAATTACATGGACGTAGTGGCCCTTCCAAAAATTAGATGCACGTTTTTACTCTTGTTCGCGATGGCTGTTGGGCACATGTGCTCCAGGGAGGAGAGACAGAGAAGAAAACGAGAGATCCCCCCGGGGGCTGGCCAGGCCCCATCCCTTCTCCATGCCCTCCTGGGGGTCTTGGGCATGCACACGTGCCCCGCATTTTTTTTTTTTAAATCAGAGAGCCGCAGCCCCCGGGGAGGCCACTGCAGAACCCCGGCCCTCCCCCAGGATTTGGGACATGCACACAGGAGCGCCTGGCGTGATTGTCAAGCCACCAGGTCCAGTTGGCCGTGGGAGGCCAACACCTTACCACCGTGCCACCCAGCCCCACGTTTCTTAAGACGCCAGATCCAGGGTCTCTCTGTCTCTTTTTGGCAAGTACATGCACTCTATAGCAAAAACCTCTAAAAAAAAAAAAAAAGAAAGAAAGAAAGTGAGAAACCACACCCCAGGGGGGATGGCCACGCACAATCCCTTCTCCTCCATTCTCCTCTGGGGATCTTGGGCAGGCACACACACGCACCCGGCGTGAGTTTTAAGCCACCGAGTCCGGGACTCAAACCGCGGTCGACTACGTGGGAGTCCAGCGACGTAGCC